ACGTACGAAAATTTTATTAAAATATACAGGGTGGTTTCAAAGTTATAACCCTAAACGTTAATTTCTAGGTACCCCTTTGATCCCCCATAACTCCGTTAGGGGGCACATTAGGAAAAAAAAATATAGGAAGGACTAGTTTTATTTTGACCTCCCCTATTCACTCCCGAGAGGTTAGGAGGTACTTACCGGACACCCTGTATAGGCCGATAAAATCGTTTATATTAAATTATTGGAAAATACAATACATCAAAATTAAAAAAAAATACAAAAAATAAACAATTTTGGAAGTAAGGAACTTCGAAGTGCCTACATTCAGCAGTAATTCATGACAGCGTCGTATGGACGAATATTAAAGTTTCCACGAATTTCATTTGCAATCAACATAATTCGTTCTTGTTAATTCTTCTACTGTTAATTACTTCCCGATTGCTTAAAAATCCCCATAAAAAGAAATATAGTGGATTTAAGTCGGGACTTCTTGGAGGCTATACCACAGGACTAAATCGACCAATCCATCTACCACGAAAATGATTATTTAACCTCTCTATAACGAATCTGTCATTCTGAGGAGGTGCACCATCGTGTTGGAAGAACATACGATGTCTAATATTTAACGGGATATATTATTACGTTACGCAGAAGATGGTGTTCGAGAAAGTCCCTCTACTATTTACGTTCAAGTGATTATTATGTTCTTGTAATTACAGTAAAGTACCATTGCAGATTCTTTCCCATATGTTTATAGAAAATCGTTGCTGGAATCGTCTTCTTCTTTTAACATGAGGTTTGTCTGATGAATAATGTCGCAAGTATCGAAAATTTGAAAAAATGATCGGTCTATAAAACGATGCTTCTAATAAATCACTGACAAAAACGTATACGTTGCTCGGCATCCCCAGGACGAAAAGCTAGAATGCTTGTATAGTGGTAAGAGTGTAATAATTCCCTGTGTAAAGTTCGAGAAACAAAACTTTATGGAAATTCTAACTGCATAGACATTCGACTCGTACTTGTAGTAGAATTATCTACATCAATTACAGCTTCTTCATGATCTGCAACGTTTTTCGAAAGGTTGAAACAAATTCCTGATGATTTCTGCTATTAGGGAATCTGCGATGATATTTTCTTACGACATTTCCTTGATAAAAGCTATACATGTAAGCGATGTTACCTACTCCCTTGTAGTAAAATTATTTTGAAAAAAATGCACGCACAATTATTTACTACATTTAAAAATGCATAATTGTTATTGACAGCTAGTGCTACTTTTGGACTATCTTAGCATGGCTAACTTGCCATTTCAACACTAAAAAAACAATCAACGTATCTGATAAAGTAAATGAAAGCGAACTCGTTTATAGCAAAAATTAAAAAACTAGACATAACAAAATCAATAACGAAATTGTATAAATTTAGATCCTTTTTCAAAATTAAATTGCTTCTCTTCTATGTATAATTTTTTTATCGACTAGTTAATAAAATAAAGTTATGTTGTACGTTTAACTTAATATCTTGTTCGATTTGCATACGAATTAATTACGCTAACTCTACAACTTTTCCAGTTAGATTCAATAAAATAATTATCAAACAAGCTCGACGCCATAAAAAAGGAGACAGCTTAGCACTTCACGCTGAAATATCAACTGGCACTTAAGTTATGATTTACACCCACTAATTTGCTTTTGATGAAATTCCTATGATCCGAAGCGAGAAGCGATGCTTAGAAAAAGTTTACGGCTCGAAAATATACAATCTCCCGGTAACCACATGTTACGTAATTAGGCACATTGTATTCCCTGTAATCTTTTATGGTCCAAGTGGTATTAAATTAAATAATGTAGGTGTGGAAAGATCGATGAATAGAGGTGTATAATGTAAGTGTTAATAGATTTTTTGTTAGGAATGACATGCCTGTAATCGTTCAATAAACTAGTGGCATCAATATTGAGTACAGTTCTAAAATATTTTAATTTATTTATGAACGAATACCTGTCCACAGAATAAGTACCATTGAAAGGTGGGAAATGAACAAACGAATTTTATTTACAGAAAGACAAGTTTAATGAAAGAAACTTTGAGGATTTAACTTTTAAGAAGTCAATGCTACACTTTATTTAGTATCCTTTGAACATAATTATAAATATAGGTTCACCCCTGAAAACATTTCATTGAATCAAATTTACCCATCATTCTGGAATCTATATGATAATTTAATTCTTGAGTTGCGTCTTTGACACCTCGACTACTGTTCCTATTACTGCGTTACTATATTTTAGAATATTATTTTTAATAATAAAGACCCGTTTTATATTATATACTGACTTAGAATTGATAAATTATCTGAGATGCTGTTGTTGACAAATGACAAAGTACGAAAATTCCTTGTAATTTTTTACGAAACCACTGACTAAATATGAAAGGGAAAATAACGCGATATGAACGTATCAATAAATTGCGGTTTTTACTTACATGTTTACATGAACTTTTACAAAACGAGTATGCAAATTTTAGTAGGAGGCCTTGAAAGATTCCTCCAAAATAAACTTAAATGTTTTTTTCAGTTTTCACTTTATCATTGCCTTGGTTGATTCTCTGAATTTATTAATGGATAGAATGTAATTAAAATAAACAATGTTACGGTTTTGTAAATTCCTCCACAAATTAATACATATTTTAAAATACATATAAATTAAATTTTAAATATCAAATTTAGATTGCTTCTAATAGGTACATTTTTTGATGATTCTATGCATAGTTCAATTATTATGAAAGCAATAAATCCAGCTTAATTTGGTTTATGATTGATTAATTATCTCAGCCGCTTTTTGTCTTCCCTAGAATTGCGCCAGAGGCTAGAAATTGCATTCGAAAATAATTTAAATTATGCCAGTAGAAAATAATAATTAGTTCTTAACAGTTTTTACTAAAATATTTTATTTAATCCTTATTTATTGACACTATTTGTGGCATTTTTTCTTAGGCGCGTCCATATTTATAAATTTGATTTTAAAATGCATGCAAATTTTATAAAAAATTAATTTCAAAAGTACAATTCTTAAACTAAAGAATATTATATAAAAATAAAATAAAGACAACATTGGGTGATTTTCATAAGAATATGTCATATTTTATGACTAAATCAGCACCAAATTTAATGCTAGTTGCTTTACTGCTAGGTACCATAATAATAAACCTTTATTAAAAAAATATTGAATAAAAAAATCAATTACAGCAAACAAATTCACTAAAAACCTTACGAACGTCAGTACCGTGTCCTAAATTGTGTTTTGTAGTGTAAAAGATTTTTTTATTAGGGTAGGTATGGTATAGTAAATTAATGGTTCCCTAGAATATTTAAAAGTATTAATATTTTATATATAATTTATACCAGATTACTTGCTTTTTAGAGGAAAAATAACGAATAACTATTCTCGTACGATTTCTACAAAATTGTATATGTAATTGTAATATCCATTGTTTTACTGCACATGAGCTTCTTTAAACACAAGTTACGTGATCTTATTTTGAAAGAGATCATAAAAATGTTTAATACCACCACACATTTTGTTGAAAAAAATACATACTCGTATATTCTAGTATTAATTGTCATATTTTTACTCTATTGTAGGTGTTAAGTCAATTAAAACATATTCAATTTCTTTTCTAAAAAAATCTTATCTAATGAAATCAAAGAATACTTATCAGAAATCTAGTAGTTGTTTCCCGCAATATAAGATTTTTTAGAAAAACTTTTGAATTTGATTTAATTAGTTTAATGTCTTTACAATAGAGTAAAGGGCATCATACAAGCTAGACTAATAGCAGAAAAGTCTGAATTATGAAAAAGTTATCACAAAATACAATAATACAAAATAGTATCGTGATCCATTTACAGAGTTCCATTAAAAAAAAACTTTACCATTTTCCCTACAGTTTGCACAGTTGAGATTCACCTTAAATGGACCCAAAAATGGGGTGGAGGGTAAAAAATTTGACTTTGATTTTTTCCAAGTTTTGTCAAGAAACTCAAAAGGGTTAAGTATGTTTTTTTGTTACAAAAGAAAGGAGCTCTTTATGGACTAAAAAAAATATATTGCTTTCAAATAAAAATTGATCTTAAGAGTTGAACTCATGAAAATGTAAAAGTACAAATCATGTTTTTTTATTAAACAAATTTCATCGTCATATTCTACGTTTAAATAAGAAAAAAAAAGTTCTAATAAATATAGGAACAGGTTGAGACAATTAAGGACCCATCAGTTTTCAAAATCCATAATAAAATCAAATTTTAGAATGACGTCTACCCATCTTGTCGGAAATAAAGTAATAAATCTCGATTATTTATTTTTAACAAGTTTCGGAGACAGAATAAAAACCATTTGTTTATCGTGATCAGTTAATATTTAATTGAACGTATTGTATATAGGTGTGACTTTAAATAAGGATTAGTTTTTTAAGGGTATTAATACGTTTTCTCCAAAATTCGGATCTGGTATACAGGGTGATTCACAAATGGTGACCAAAAATGAAACTACGTATTCTTTGGTGAATTTTAAGTGGTCTTTCCTATAAAATTTTTATTTAGGACGCTTCGTTAAAAAGATACAGGGTGTTAAACTTCAAAAAATATTTTTAATTTTTTTAAATAATTTAAAAACTAATAAGTGGAATAATTTAAAATATGCACATGTATTTATGTAAACATTGTTCAAAATCAGAGGGCTTTTCCTATAATGTACATGCTCCAGTGGCGGAGATACAGGGTATCGGTGTGTTTGTGTGTCTTCATTGTTAAATTTCTATGAGTTATGAAAAACCCGTTTACGAATCGAGAAAGATGAGGTCTGGGATACGTGTTTTAAAGGCTTCGTACTTATAAATAAATAAAATACACCCTGTATGTTTAGTACTGCCACATTATTTCCTTATCCGTAGTGAATATAAGAATTATGAGAAGAATTTTGTGGTGAAATATCGATACTGGTGAAATTCTACTTTACCTTCTGATGTGCATCCCCCACGCTTGGCTTCATCTGGCCAGGAGCAGATACCAGCGTTCACATTATAGACCAGACCATCCGGGCACGTTATCATGTTGAATTTCCCGTCCACGCAGAAGTAGAATTTATCGCAGACGTTTCTTTCTTCGTGAGAGAAGTAACCGTGCTTCCTGGGGCAGTGCTCGCTGGGTTGGGGTTCCTCTGAAAATATTTCAAAAATAAATTTTAGGCTACTGAAACTTTTTAATGAAAAACAGATTTTCCAAAAAAGACGCATTCGAAATTATTTAACCAAACTTAAAGATTGATATCGGATCAAATAAGAAATAATGGTGGTATGAAGAAATGTTTGTTTTCTAGATACAGGAAATTTTGAAAAAAATCGTGTATTCTAAAATACTTCTAACGCACAATGATGACAACCGTTAGTTCTCACAGTATGCCATAGGTCAGACGACTGACGCACAATTTGGCAATTTGAGTTAAATATCTACTGCATAACTTATGTCAGGTCATATGAACCCTGTCCCTTTCTGGCGATCCTACTGATGAAAGAATTTAGCTGATTACTAGAGCTCGGGACTCGGTCGGATGATCATAGCCGTCGCGTCGGCCTTTCGCTACAGCGCACCGTACGAAACCTGTAATAACGGCAGTTATTGGCTTCGCGTTTGCTTCGTGTATATGTGTTTTAATATTCTAATAATTTCGAACGCGCCAAGGGGTAAAAGACGACTTTTCGCTGATAAAGTATGCACATTTATTTATTTTTATTTATATCTACCTGTTTATTTATTTATTTGTTTATGATGAACACGCCTGTGACTAACTGACGAAAACCCCGAGCTCTACTGATTACTAGGTATTAGAGGTGTAATTCTCTGCTAGATGGGGCATGTAACCCGCAGTTAAAGAGTTTATTTCGCCTAGTGCAGCATTAGTTATGATTTCATGGTATCTACAGATTAGCAGGTCACTCTCTGTCAGTTAATCAAATCAATATTTTGTTCCAGTAGGCATTGAGCAGCAACGATAAAGATACAACGTACCTTGTAGGTTATACTTTTTTATTCGGAAAACCCTTCGTTTCGTTTTAATTTATTTTTTAAATTTACATTACCGTTACCAAACGTCTCAATGAACCTAAAATGTAAAATTTCAAATACAATATGCAGGCACAAAAAGTCACAAAATGTTTTTACCACCAGAATATTCCATTAATACAGACTCAAATTTTCTTTAAATTTGTTTGATCAAAATAGTTTGCCATTACAATTTGAATTTCATGGTACCTAGAAATTAGTAGGTTGCTCTCTGTTAGGTACAAAGCAATGCTTTGTGCCAGTGGGCAATTGAGATATAATACAGGGTGTTAGAAGTTTGACTGCCTTAATTTTATCATACGGTAGAATAGAATTAAAATAAACAAAAAAACCTTATATGACTTGGGTCCTAAACTCAACCATTTCCGAGAAAAAAAAATTATCAAAATCTCCAACTTGATGTACAAAAGTTCGAATAATTAAGGAATATTGACATAACTCCGTCCATAAAATATAATGTTTATCACTTTTTTGAACTTCTTTATGCTTAATTCTAAAAAAAATAATTAGCGTTATAAAAAATTTAAAATTCAATAAAATTCATATCGAGCAATGTGGCAACGGCGCGGCGGTTAACACGAGGTATTAAGCAGTCCAGCAACCAGCAATACACAATTCAGTTGGTATTTGGAATTCGAAAGTGACGGAGTGTTTTTTGTGTACCACTATTTCTTTTTCTTGAGGTGTTTCTCGCTTTTTTAAAATGTTTACTATACGTGATAATTTTCCAGCGAGTGCACGAAAATTGGATTCGAAGGTGTCGTGCGTGCATAGTAAATTTTGAGCATATGTTGTAGTTTGTTTTATACTTGAGCGTTTAAAAATTACTGAATCTCCTACATATTTTTCAAATTCATAATTTGATTAAAAGTTAAGTTCCTGTTTTAAGAGATTCATAATTACTAAAATTCGAGCTAAAATTTAAGCACAACACTATCTTCGTACTTCAGAACCGATACATTTTATTTTATTTATTTAAAAATTGGAAAACAATTGTCTTGAAATTTATTAAATGTTTCACAATATTAGTTGTTTACATTTTTGTTATGCCAGGACAAGTCTGCCGCGTGCACACGTGGTGTGCATCAGCTGTGCAGCATTAAGTTAAGCGTTGTTGCCATGTTGTGATGAAACTCCCCAATATTAATACTCTATATTTTAAAAACTGTCAATCTTATGCCTCTGTAATATACCACTTTTTTGTTCATTTATGATTACTCTATCTCATGCTGAAGCAACGACAGTCAAACTTCTTACACCCTGTATATTTTATAGGCAGTTCTAGTAGCATGCTGAACCAAACCTTATATCTCACCCACAATCTTCTGTTTTACTGGAAAACCGTTTTCGGGTTATAACTTTCTTTAATTTACATTGCCGTTACCAAAATGCTTACATAATTTTTACGTGTAAGCCCAAGTTACATCACTTTTCGTCGAAGCGAACTATTTTTTTTTTTAGAAAAAAACTATGAAAATATACTGAAATATTACTTTTTTGTGCACTTACGCAATTTAGGTCTCGCTGAGCAGTCGATATTGAAGGGCAGATCGCATTTTTCGTATTCGGTGCTGTAGTCGTTGAATACCTGACCATCAGGGCATAGTTTTTCCGTTATTTGGCCGTCTGAGCACTGGTAGTACTTGTCACATTGTTCCGCGTCAGGGAAAAAGCCGTCAGGTTCGGGACATTGGTCTGAAAGTTCTGCTTGCTGAGCAGCTCGGTTGTTCGATTTTTTTGCTCCGCTGACTATGGCTGAAAACAGAGACATGAATTAGTAAAAATAGTATCAGATAAACACAGTTACTTTAGCCGTCTACAGAACAGTGATATGCCGTCCTTCTCCCGCACTAATATCAAACTCGGCTAATCCTTAAAACTAGAGCGAAGGGTAGATATTTTAAGATTATTACGGAATATTTAACTAAGGTAATAATAACTAACATACTTGTTTTTGAAAATTTTACAAGTATGTTTTGCAAACGAAAAATCGTTTAATTTGTAATAAATCGCTCAATGTGGCAACAATGGTTCCGTCAATTATCGAAGAGACCGTAGAGACACCTAGTCAATTAATTTATAGAATCCTGCCTAAGAATCAGCGCAGGAATCGCTAACAATGATGTCACGTACCACAGACAAAATAGCTATCACCACAGACCACTACTGGAATAGGCCAGCAATTTTATATTTCCTTCTTGCCGATAGAGTACACCACCAGCAGAATTTTAGGCAGTATTTTAGGAAGAATCAAATGCAGCGACCTGGATTCCTACATGTGTCCCAGCGACATATAAACAACGGTTTGGCAACGTTGTCACGTGTACATTTTTGTGTTACTGTATTTACTTAAATGAAGGTATTGATAAAAATGTTTTAAAGAATGAACGAATAAGTACCTACGTAGTCAACTTAGACGATCAGATATTCTGCAGCGGTTGTTTAATCATAATTTGGTTAATTAGCTACTATTCAATTTTTGGTATTGAAATACTGTAGAAAACATACAGGGTGTCCCATTTTTATTCTGAAAAAATTCAGGAAAATATAGATCCAATTTAAAGGGACTTTGCTATATAAACTTATTTTGAAATCTGAACCCTTTCCGAAATACAGGGTGTTGAAGTTGAGTTTATTTTTTCATTTTTTGTTAATATCTCTTGGAGTTATAAACTAATTGTTCTCAAATTTTATGTGGTGAATACCACAGTGCACTAGTACTAATACACAAAACCCCAGCTTGACAGAAAAAGCCAGTGGCGTGCATTCCGCACTTATCGATACCTTTTATAAAAAGTATGTGTTAGTGCATTGTTCTGTCAAAAAGCATTTTTACGTTTTCTACATAATAGGCACAGCTACAGAGTAAACCGACATTTTATAAAATCATCCCTGATCTTAATTTTAGCAGAACTCGATCACTATTCCTTATCTAAGAAATGCTGAAGCGCACTCCTGGCTAATTGAATACTATCTGTGATTACTAACAATGATGGTTTTTTATGTTTGAAAAAATTAAAACATTTAAAATTCTATCAGTGATTTAATAACAATAATTAATTATAAAATTAATGCACATTAACGTTTAATAAACTAAACAAAAACTGTATCATTAATGTATCAATGAATATTTAAATATTGTTCAAATATTCTCAAATCTATTCTTTGATTTCTGTGCTCTAATGTTCTAATGTTCGTACATTACCAATTTCATGGAGTCTTTGAAATGCATCAGTAAATAATTGAGAATTTGGATGTCGTCTATCAGGAAACCTTCGTCTGTATTCTCGAGATGCCTCCAATGCGTTACCATTACACAATCCGTAACAGAACACAATATCAGCATATTCAGCATTTGAAAATGTATAAGGCATTATTAAAGCACTTAATGGTATTTTATAAAAAGCTAAATCCGAGTAATTAATGTAAAAAATTTTCGTTTCTCAACAAAGAGTGATCATGTCAAGTTTATTATGAAAACCAAAACTGTTTTCAAAGCAACTCTGATTTTTAATTTTCTGTCACTACGAGTGAACAAAGTGTATTGCAGCCAGTGGCTTGCAATTTGAACATTTAATATTATTAAATTAACCAGGAATGTGCTTTAACATTTTTTAGATAAGGAATACTGAAGCCAAATTAAAACAACCTGAGCGTTTCAGTTGTTGATTAAAACAGTTCTGCTAAAATTAAGATCAGAGATGATTTTATAAAATGTCGGTTTACTCCGTAACGGTGCCTATTATGGAGAAAACGTAACAATACTTTTTGGCAGAACAATGCACGGACAATTGAAATTATTTATTATTTTAAAGATCAGTCAGTGACGTAACACATACTTTTTATAAAAGTATCGGCAAGTGCGGAATGCACGCCACTGGTTTTTTCTGTCGAGCTGAGATTTTGTGTATTAGTATTAGTACACTGTGGCATTCACCACACAAAATTTGAGAACAATTGGTTTATAACTCCAACAGATATTAACAAAAGATGAAAAAATAAATTCAAATTCAACACCCTGTATTTCGGAAAGGGTTCAGATTTCGAAATAAGTTTATATAACAAAGTCCCTTTAATTTTATCGGATCTACCTTTTCCTGAATTTTTTCAGAATAAAAATGGGACACCCTGTATTTCCAAATAAACTAAATTCGTAATAATATTTTAAACAGTTTGTAATGTAATTTTTTAAATATTTGATGATGATGATAAATTTATTTACTAATAATGTATTTTGATATCCACTTATAAGTTTAATAATTAAATATTGAAAAAAACTTTAAATCCAAATGTACGACTTTTCCTTTGATTCTTTTGACATCAAAATTTGCTGGCATAAAATATATGTCTAAACTAAAAAATCATTAAAAAAATTAAAATTCATCCTTATTGAAATAACAAACAACGATTTTTATATCTAACCCATAAAACAACATAAGGAGAATATCTAAAAACGAAATAACATTAAAATACCTACCTAACATTAAAATACCTACAAAATAAATTTTGGAAACAAGAGGTGTGTGACGTAAAAAGGTCGTATAACTCGGAAACGGTGCGTTGAATTGAAAAAATAATTAAAAAAGTCTTCCCTACACCTTGGTTCTGATTGACCCTTCTGCGTTGAATGCAAAAGGTCCAAAGTCCGGATGCCGAAAAACAAAGTTAGTAAAAAATTGCAACAGCAGTAGCGAACGCATTATCTTATCTCTGTAAGGGATCACTGATTGTATCCATGATATGCAAAACTTGTGTCAATAATTATTTTATCTATCTAAAGAAATCAACAATAAGAGAGAAGTACCCATCTAAGGATACACAACCTGTATAATGCATTTTTTTTAAACATAGATGTTAATATTGTACCAAATTGGAAGTCGACGGACAAATCTAAAAACACTAATTTCAAGTTTTTAAATTCTCCCATTCCAAGGTGATATAAAATAAATAATCAATTAGGTAAATTCATAGTTTTAATTTTGCATTTATCACAAATGTGATTTCCAAACAAAAGATAAGTTTCATATCTCTTTAATTACATAATTGAATGCATTAAATTTATTTGGCAGTTATTATTTGGCAACAAAGCTACCGCTGGAACTGCCGCCTATTACCAAGTAGAAGAGTTACCACGCTTTTTAGTGCGGGTTGCCAATTTCCAGCATTTAACACGCAGTCTGTGGCGATAAACTATATCGTCTGCGCACATACAATAAAATTTCAAATAATCTTATATTAAATAAGAGGAAATTGATTTTAATTCATTCATCTAATAAAAGCTTGACATATAAAAGATCAATTAATCAATTAATTAGGAACAAAGCGTTGGGAAATATTTTAGAAACATTCATTATACATATTGTATGTGACATTATGAATTCAGGATTGAAACGAGATACCTGAGACTGTTATTCCTAACAATAAATTTATGCTGTTTTAAAAGGTCGTTGCCTCTTCGCAATTTATTTTGTTTGTTGAGGATTTCTTAAATGTATGCAATCAGTTACCGGGTAACACGTAACCTTTACTTGCCACATTCTATTTACAAACTGGGTGCCGGTTTGGGCCCACAGATGTTGATGATTATTGAAATATATACAGATTCACCTCATACTCAACCTTTAAAGATACTGGGAGTGTACTGCAGAATACTTTTTTGATGCTCACGTCATTAAAACAGATATTTACCGTTGATGTAATATAAAAGAAGAAATGGCAATACCAATTTGTTTTTTAATAAATGACAATTGCGTTTTTAGGTCAATTTTGGCGAATGCAGTTTTATTAAAATCGGCTGTTCTAAAATCCAGCGCTTTCCGAAATAAATTTAATTAATCTGAAACGCAATTGACGCTTTGCCAAGTACCTAGATCTGGAAAAAAATGGGCTAGATACCGGGTGTCCTGAAGTTAATGCAACAAAATTTGGTCACAGATTCTTAAGACAAATTTAGGGGACCCGTATTTTTTATTTTTGCCAAGTGGCCCCCTCTTTCGGAGATACAAACCCCTGAAATCCGCCCTTAATAATAGAATACACAGGGGTTTTAAGGTGGTATCTGAAAGTGCTACGCTTTTTGAAGGAGAACCTCCATAAGACGCTTTTTCGTGGACCTTCTTGTCTTCGGAACTAAAAAAATTTGGTCGCATATTTGAATTTCTTATAAATTAGTCCGCTAGAAAGCCATTGCATTTTAAAACTTTTTTGAATCTTTATTTTTTTCGTAAAACGCAATGTTTTCAAGAAAAATGGGAAAATGTGATCAACTGCATATTGTGATTCATATGAAATTCTACCTATCAATCGTATCTATAGTCTGTTTAGAAATGAAAGAGAGTAATAAAAGCTTATTATGTATGCAAATCGTAAATAAATGTAGTACTGGTGCTTATATTCAATATTTTTATATTATGTATTATCGGTATAGATGAGGTGTACTTTTAAAAAAACTTTGTGTGACCGGGTTGTACTAAATTGTAGCAGGTAGCTAAAATTTAATCCCCGACAATCCGTCTTTGTCTATGCCGCTTCAATTTCTCGGTCCATTTCTCTTATAAGTAAACAATATAAAAACAGCATTTCAAAACATGAGGCTACTTTAAGCATCATAACCGGGTTAAGAGGGTTTTTAGTAATTCAAATAAAATTATTCAATATTATTATCAAAATATTTATTTAAATTTAATGAATAGACTTTTATTCCACACAAAAATATATGTATTTTGAAAATTCAAATTATGGTGAGTAAATGTAGT